TCCCACAGGTAATGAATACAAAGCCGATTTTAACTTCAAAGTTTAACTTGCCGCAAAAGGGGAAAAAATTACCGTTTTTTCTTTGTGCATCGCTTATCAGCTTCAATTTTTTGTAATTCTCTCACAAGCGGAGCATTTGTGCGAATTAGGTTTTCTTCGAACTCATCGATCGAATCAAAAATCACGGGCGTCTGGCCATCCGGTACAGCCAGTTCTTTCAGAGCCAGGCTCGCATTGAAGTCCTTCGAAAAGAAATCCATTCACTTTTTGCTGCACCTATGATTAATACAAAATATTTCATCAAATTAATGCCACAAAAATAGCAAGAACACCACCCCTGGTAGCCGGTGATGTTGCTGAGATGCTTCCACACGCCGAGCGCAGCTAGTGCCAAGTCTTATGACTCGCCATTCATCGCTTGCTCAGTGTATTTGCGCAGTTTTTTCAGAGATCGCTCAATTGGTTGTTTACTTTTTCGCAAGTACAACACTCACCAACAAAAACTTGCATTAGTAAACGATTGCCCAATTACGTAGCAAGAATGCGAGACAACAGATGGACAAAGCGGAACACTGGTTGGTATCCATGCAACGTTAAATGAACAAAAGGAGGTGGGGTCACCAGTACCGAAAGATTTGCTAGGAATCGCTGCAGGAATAAAGTGAACTATAGCAGCTCAAAATGGAGAAGAATGGAGAAATTGCTAGCTGCATCAGCCGCGCTAGAAAAAATGCGGTAATGAAGGAACAAATGATCGAAAAATTGGAGGACTGGAGGATTCACGCACCCCGACCGCCCCACACACCGAACAATCACGCCATTTGACTCGTGAATTTTGCAATATTAAGGAAGCCTCGCAATTTGAGTCCAAGCCTGTTGGGTACGTGGCAGTTGCATCAGTTGCCAAGCTGTCTGGTCCAGGAATTAGTCATGGGAGGACGTCTTTGCATCCCTTGTGTTCCCCACTTCCCTTTCCCTCCTTCGCTTCCCGTTTCCTTTCCCTCATCCCCCCTCCCGTCCTCCTACTATCTTCCGTACTTTCCCTCCACTCCCCCTTAATCATCCCTTCCTCCTTTCCCTTACTCTTATTCTTTATATAGTTCCATTTGGGTGTACAAACGAATCCTTCTTCTGGTGCACTGACAGTCTTCGTTACGTTCTTTTAACTTTGTATGCCCACTTTTTAAATTGAGTATTGTTCTATTACAAGGTATATAAAGTTTCATAGTTCCATCAGCTCCCGCATGATTATCACGGTACTACTCGCGTTGTTGTTACAGCTCACAACTTCTCCATTCTTCTATGTTTTGAGCTTTTCTCATCCACATAATTCCA